CTGCATTGTAAATTGAGTTCATCCAGCTTGTGGGACAATTAGGATATAAACAGGTGTTCATAAAAGTATAATTTGCCAAACAAAATAAACATTAGATTCTAGGGATTTCTGATTATCATCTGAGCTATGGGAATAGGATAGCGAGTGAGGGATCATTTTTCCCTGGAATGTGGGAGTTCGGGGAGGCAGAAGGGTCTTTGAAGATCTTGTTTAATTGATTCCTAGATGGAACCTTTTCCTGTTTTTCCGTTGAGTCTTTCTGGCTCTGCTCTCCCCTTCAGAATATGGGACTGATGTAATACAAGCAAATACCAGCACCTCAATAAATGCTCCACAGGTTATTTCTTTCAAAAGGGGATGTAACAAGTTTGTGCAGAGTAGAAATTAAGGGAAGTTTTTAAGTTTACAGCTGGTACAAATTTAAGTACTTGTTTGAAGTATTGTGGAGGAAGCGGGTTCAGATAAATAATCATTAACATAAATAAATGTTCTGTGTGTTTGGCAGTGCTCTTAGCAAGAGAATATGTCTATAGCAGAAGATGTTTATGAATTTTGTTGTGTTGCACACCTTGAGCCTACTGGGCTGTGACAAGAAGGAAGACTTCCCTCTGTTATCAGTTAGCAGCTATAGAAGCTAAGATCCCTTTTAAAGTGAGAGCTGCTGATCTTCAACTTGAAGATAACTGTGCTGATTAGAACAGACAAGTACAAGAGGTTTTAGGGTTTTTCCTGAACTTACAGACTTAAGGTGCTATTGCCCATGGATGTTTTTTTGCTCAGAGCTTGGAAAGCTGCAGTAGGAGAACTATGCAAGCTATCTTCCTGACTTCTCTGCTAGCTTTCCTATTTTCCCTGCCCTCTAAAGATGCCAGAATCAGTAAGGAAAGCCAAAAGAAATCTTCTTTATCGACTCCTGCCTCTGCTGTTGCATGTAGCTTTCTGAAGAGCTGTTAGCTACTTGTAAGAATAGAGAACTGACAAAAGGAAAGCCAGGGAAAATAAAGAACAAGACGAAACATCTGTAAACTGTAGCTGTAGGAATTACATAGTACAGACATGTCAGTATTAAAATAGCTTAGAGAATATTGTTAAAGCAGGAGAAACTCAGTGACATACCCTGTCTATCTCCAGAAGGCTCTGAAGTTGCCTAGAAGAATAGACAAAGATGTGGGACTACTTTTTCCTTTTTTATACCTATGAAATAAAATGTTTTACAGCAATTAGCCAGAAGGTGATCTGAAAGAGAAGGGGGAAAATCAAATAGGGTTTGTACTGGGAAGTGAATCCCAGCAGCTCAGCTGCTCAGGTGCTTTCCTCACTCCTTATCCACTCTTCTTTTGCATTGGATCATAACCAGTAAGGTCAGTAGTTAGAACTAGCAGTCAGTCCTGTTATTAAAACTTGTTAACCTTAAGAAGTTTTACATTATTGTCCTGTGACATAATCATAACGGATCTGGGAAAGTTTATCGTAAGCTTTAGGCTTCTAGTCATTGTGAGTATAAATAAAATTTTTCCAAATGAAGGTCCGTTTCAGAGCGTGCAGCACCACTAACCCTGTCTGTCCCAGTAGCGAGCTTCCTCCATCACCAAAGACAAGTGCTGGATCTGAATTTACTTAGATTGGCAAGATTATCTATTTCATTGCTGACAGTTTAATAGAAGGTTTAATGTTTGTTTATCTGTCCTAGATGAAATGTTGGGTTGTGTAAGCAATGACTAGTGCTCAGGTTGCGTTCAAGTCAAAGTCAGTCCTTCTTCTGAGAAGGATATGGAGTGCCTTTTGCCTGGCTAAAGGCTTAGCTGCGTTACGTACTCCCAGCCAGGAAAACAACCACCCCCCGGCCCAAACCGTCCTTCTGTCAGACAGCCACAACCTCCGATCTCTGTGACAACCGTGATCTCTAACATTTGACTCCAGCACAGGTCAGATCTCAAGCAGCGCAACTCCCCTAAAAATCACGGAATAATTTAGGATGAAAGCGACCCCCGTACAAACAACGAGATCCATTTAACTCTTATAATCAGTTGAACAGCAAATTAGCGTTTAAAGCTTTCAGTGCTCTCCCTTCCCTAATAACAGTGTAAGCTTTGGGTTTTTCTGGCTGTGTGCTGAGCACAGAGGGTTGAAAGGAAGAAGTCAGGACTGCCATCAGAAATTCATGTCTAACGTTCTTGGCTCTGACATGACTTATTAAGAACTGTTGAACAAAATACTGAATATTTCGGTGCTTATACCAAATAGAAATCCATATAACGAACATCTTACTCCTAGAGATGACATGAGAGCTATCAGTTTGCATAGCATTTTATTGCTATAAATAGTAAAATGAGTTAGATTTGATTTCTAGAGGCAGAGTAAATAGTGTTTTCTTTGTTTTTAAAACAGCAGAAGTTTTAGGATAGCCACTTAATAAGGTCATATCGGTAGGCCCGTATCAAAGCTTGCAAGTCTGTTGGGTCCAGCATCCTATCTGATGGCATTTTCTGTAAACTATATTGACTTCTTCTGTAAGGTATGGTTTTTTTATTTCATTGTTGGTTTTGGTTCAGTGTTTTTTGCTGGTTTTATTAAGTTTTGTTAACTGTGTGCTTCAAACTTCAAAGTTATGCCTTTCTTGGAAAACTTCTGAAAAGTCACAGAGGGAACAAAAGATGGAGCTTCATCAGTTTATGAAAGGAATTGTATGAAGTAATTTCCCCTAAACAAGACTGGACATAATAACATTAAGTGGAGAAATCCCACTAATCACTCAAAAAAATCTGTTGTTGTTTTAGCCTTATTTCGAGTCAACCTGACCCAAAGAATTATACTGGCATGTATTAAGAATTGCTATTTTAGATCTACCTGAACCAAACTCTGAAACTAATTTATTATTTTATTTTTTGGTTTTATTTATTAGTAGGTCGTGATGGTTCTAGGTACAAAGCCTTAGCTGCCTCATTTGCAGTGTCTAAATTCCTGTTCTTCTGTTCTCTTTAGATAAATACAGGGCACCGATCGCAGTTGACTGTATCAAGTGCAGAGGTGGGAAATGAAAGGAGTCAAAATTTGGAAAGCAGCCCTTTCATGTCAGATCTTCTGAGTGACGTACCCTTTGCCCTGGCACCACATGTGTTAGCAGTACAGGGCACCCATAATGACGTTCCTGACCGATTGCTCACCTACGACATCAATGATAATTTATCAAGATTTTGGTATGACTTTACACTTGAAAATTCAGTGCTTTGTGATCCGTGATCTTTTCTTTATTTTTTCTGTCTGTGTCAAGGAACAAGTCTTGAGGCGAAGATAAAGATTTATTTTAATCAACTTAATATTTTGGGGGCCTGCCACTGGTGTATCAGATGCATTGGATCAAAAGGATTATTATTCACAACTGTGTTATATTTCTTAGCTTTAAGTGAGCTGTAACTTACTATGTTAAATATTTCATTTATCTCCAAAGAAATCAAGCAAAACTGTTTCAGCCTGAATAGGAGACTGGCTGTTGGTATCTGCTTCTAGTAGGTAGGCTGCAGACACAAACATTTCACATCTGTAAGATGAAGTCTACGCACATCTGCACTGTTTTGTTATTTCACTCAGATACTAAACACATAGATCCTGTTACACGTGTTTCTGTAAGATCACCTCTGATTTTCTACAGATAGAACCCAGTATTAAACGCTAAAGCAGTGCTGCTTTGCACTGCTGGACAGACAGCTTTTCAGTTAAGCCAAGTTTTAAAACTCAGAGTTAATTATGAGTACTTAAATAAATAACTGTGAAGAATCAATAGAATTGGTTAAACTTACCAATTTCAAAGTGAAAATCAGTTGCTCTGCTCCCTTTCCAGTAGATGGTATTTTTGTCCATCTCATTTGGTGCCTGGAGAAGTCCTCCCCGCCTGCCTGTTGGCTGCTGTTTGTTCTCATTACCACATGTGTTCCTGATTTATACACAGATCAGCTTTTCCATTTTAACCTCTCTGCCCCCTGAAGAAGGAAATCTCAGGACATGTACTTTTAATGGTCACACCCTTCTTTTTTTAATTTGTGTGCCAGAGATACAGATGGCAATGTTTAACAACAGGAAAACATTACATTGTTTCTTATCCAGCTAAATTAAATGGCTAAGTACCTAAACATGCATTCTCACAGACCACTGTGTCCCCCGCTCACAAGCTTTGAGATGTTTTTCCCAACTCAAACCAGAGCTGCTGTTGCATGAGCAACAGCTCTCTGATGTAACATCACAGTTTGTGATGAATAATGATCTGTGTCACACAAAAGACTGCGCTTGTTTTCTCTCTGAGTAGACATTTTCATATATTTTCTATGCTCTGTGATAGCTTAAAATAGATATATTTTGAGATTTGCACCATCTTACGGTATTTGAGATAAATACTGTAAGTGATGGAAAAATTACATTGTGAATATGTCTTAGGTTGTTAAATATTAATGTTACATGTATGTATTTAATATTTTTGACAGCTGTGTTCGTAAATGTTTTGAAGTTATTGTTTCAGGGAAAGTATCTATGCTGCACGCCAATAAAAAAATGTGAGTTATAATAAATAATAGTGATTTGGTTTTTATGTGTGAGAGTTATTACTTGGCTTCACCTGTATTGTTTACTATAGGTGTGACCATTCAGACTTCATGGGAGCTTGAACTTGGAAATCAGTCTGGAAGGCTTTTCAGTGTCATTTAAAGACTGGGGTCCTTCTAATCAAATATATCACGCTTTCATCTGATGTTCTCTGCGTGCTGTGCTGGTGACTTGCGGTGGTTTAGGCTGCATCTGTGACACTGCTCTGAGGATAGTATGGCTGTGAGCTGGGAAATACTCAGGCCTCTTAAAGGGAAGAATTAATTTTACCAAGTTGTTTAGAACTGTTTTGTCTGCTGCGTTTTCTAGCTAGCACATAACTGAAGCACTAAATTTAATTTTCATGGTCATATTATATTTAATCGTTAAAAAAAAGAAATCAAACATTCTGTAAACAGTGTGTTTCCATTCAATTTGTCCGTTTTGAATCGGAAATGTTTCTGCAGCTCAGCTGGTCTAGAAGCAGAACTGCAAAACACTGTTGAAGACTGAAAAAACTTACAATACCTGTTCTTTCCTTGCTAGCTGACTTGACATATTTTTTGCATTTATTTTTAAAGTTAGATAATTTGTCTAAAATAATTACACCTTGTCACAATGGTGCTCTGTTACACCCACAAGCATCCTTTCAAAAGAAAAGGAGAGGCAAAGGAGAGTAGGGAGGTGGTTGTTGTCACCCATGATGAGAAATGTGGCCGGTAGGTTAAACATTTGGCCTTCATCCCTAATCATGTTCCGTGAAGGGTAAAATTTACACCTAGCAAGAGTGCTAGTAATGAGCAAGGGTACTGGGAATGTGTCTCCTGACTCCCCTCTGCTTAGCAAGGGCTGGGGCTCAAACCTCTCCCTTGCTTGGCATCGTCCATAAAAAGTGGATTGAAGCCTAATGGTATCCAGACAGCAAAGCTGAATTTCTTCCCACTGGGATAAGAAAAAAATACACTTAAACTGTTATAAATTAGTGAGATTTGTGGATATTACTGTTTGCCCACGAAGAACATGAAGATGGCACAAACTCTTCAGAAAATTAAAGATTTCAAAGACTCTTAGTTCATGTAAAAATGTGAATTGCTTGTGTAAGATATGTTTAACATCATATGCGAAGTGATTATTGTATAGAATATATGTGTCTGTCACTGTCAACAAATACTGGATGGTTCTGTATATTGTCATTCAAACGTTTGACCGCTGATGAAGGAATATAGTTGATTTTAAAAAAATTAAAAACTACTTAAACATAATCAATATTGATATCAAAATCGTAAACTGGCCTGGCTGTCCTTTCTGCATATTCTGCGTATAAAAATGAGAAATTGAATAGAACTGTTTGCTTTGTGTTATGCATATATGTGTAAATTGTTTAGACAGAACTGAAAGAGATTTCATCGCTGATGCCATTAACGCCAGAACGAAGACAGGTTGCCATCTCCAGAACTAGCAAGGTAAGGCTGAGGTGTGATCCTGTGCCAGTGGAGTGCTGTAAATGGGAGCTTTGTCACTGCCATTAGCAGACATACTAGTAGGCCTGCGCTCCTTTATTAAATATTTTATTTACAGTTACTTTGGTTCCTGGGAGACTTAGAGTTTTGTTTGTGGTTCTTTACATTTTCCCTGCAAGAGATGTACTCTGTGCTGTCTGATAGCTTCCTTATGGAACTTTGTAATAAATCAAACATAAGAAGACACTTCTTATTTCCTCTGGAAAAGTTGTAAATGCAGGCTCTGGAAAAGTCTAATTTGAAACGTAGAAAAAGGAGAGCGAAGCCCACGTGTTCAAAGGTAAAACAAAGAATCATTGCGTCCAGAGCAGCCCGGCAGAAGGCTGGTGGGGAGCTGGGCCCTACAGACAACGCCCTGGTGACAAACGCAGAAGTGGAACCAGACGAGGCCGTGTCCGGCCGGTCAGTCAAGGCGCTGGCTACAGGTCCCATTTCTGATGTTTTCTATAAAGCGTGATCCAAACCCTGACGCTACAGCACTGCAGCTGGCAAATAGGCACTTGTGTAGTCACAGATGAGAGGTTTTGACCCTAGAGCAAATAAAGGAAAGCAGGCAAAGAGCGTGTGCACCATGGTAATTACAGTCTCTCAGAATAACCCAGAGTTTATTGCATTTTTTAGTTGGAGAACCTGTTATGTTCACAGAAGCGCTAAAGCAGCCTCCTGGGCAGGACGAGGGGGTTGCTCTGAACAATAGCATAAAACTTGTGCTTGAGAAACCACTCTCCTCTCCTCCCCACCACCGCCCTTTTGTTATGACATGATAATTCATCTTACTTTGGGTTTTCTCTGCTCAGCCTAGTGAGTATGGAGAGGAACCAGAAGTGCAACTCGTAGGGGTAAGTCATTCCCTTAGGTAACTGCAACTCTTCTGCTGATGACAGGGCAATTCCAGATTAACCAGATTTCCTTCTGAAGCCGTGGAGTGTCTGTTGCAGCAGCACAAAAAATCCTCCTTAAAATCCAAAGGCAGGCTCCCGTTCAGTGCCACGGGAAGAAGAAGGTTTAATAAGTCAAGGTGGGTTTGTTCAGCCCATCTGCTGTGCTGCAGCTCTTCATTGGCGTTAAGCTTGGCGTTCTGTAACAAGCTTGCAAAGTTAGAAATGGGTACATCAGGCCTGATTTCTTCCCATAAATATGTCAAATTCCTTAAACTAAGGAAAATTATTGATCTCTCTGTGTCCTCCATTGAGACCGTGTTCTTTCTTTACCAGTAAGATATTTACGTTGTTTGAGTCTCCTAGAGAACTGCGTCTTCCTTTTCAACACCTCAACATCATTTCAACATCTCAACACCATCTTCATCTCTCTCAGAGACGAGACTGTTTTCTGAAGAGAGATCTGGGGCTCGTTCTGCAGAAGGGATCTGTTCCCGCAGACGCTTTCTTAGCCTTCCTTCTGGCTGAATCGCAGCCATCCAGAAGAAGAAACGCAGGTATTCAAGCTGACTGAAAGGGGAGAAAAGTCGCTACCTTGTTCCCGTTGTGCTGACACCCAGATAACTTGGAAGCATTGCTGCCCGTTCAGTGAAACGGAGAGTTTGGTCAGTTCAGAATTTCATCATTTTCAGATGCCAGGAGTGTAAGAAGTGAAGTTGATCTCCTAGGCACGGCGTCTGTCTGTTTAGTTCTGGAGCACACATTTTAGGTTCTATGTACAGGTATGTGATGTCTCTCTTTGCATTATATGATGCTAATAACTAAGACTGTTTTAATTCTCCTGCACATGCTGCCAGGCCAACGGAATGATCTAAAAAGCAGTAAGATCCAAAGCACTACTTTGACCTCTGTGGATGCAGTCCCTAATAAGAAAACTCTCTGTGCAGAATTTGTTTTCCTCTGTCTATAAATGGTTTTAAGCATTCAATAGATCTCCTAAAAAATAACGCTTCAGATTTTGTTTTCTGAAACATATTAATGGAAAGCTTTCCTACCTTTATGGTGATTGCTACAGATTTTGACTAAGCCTGGCTGTTCTACACACAGTTACTCTGAGGCCATTGAAAATTACTAATTTTTTACAGATATCTGCCTACTATGAAATGGCAGAGTTCTTACGTGTTTGTTATCTCTTTTAGTTGTACAGAAGGAAAAACATGTAGTAGAATTGCATCCAGCTAAAGGGGGGGAGGGGTGGCACATAAAGCAG